GAAGGGGAGTGGAGAGAGGGAGTGGGAGAGAGAGGTGGGGAGAGAGAGAGTGGGCAGTTAGAGAGAGAGAGGAGACAGAAAGTGGAGAGGAGAAACACAGAGATAGGGGAGGGAAAGAATGGATGGAAGTTGGGGAGAGGTTGTGGGTGAGTGAGAGTGTGGGGACTGGTAGGGAAAGGGTGGGCAAAGATAGAAAGGGGAGAGAAAAAGAGCTTGATATCATTACATAACTAGAATGTGCTGCAAGTTACAAATCAGTTTATGTGTTTTCCAGTATCTATATATACAGCCGCGCAGTTTACAATTCTACAAAAGTAAAGTTTATAAGAATGTCGCATTTCGATAAAAGTACTACAATTTTTAGATATTTTTCCCTAATTTTTTTGTTTTTACAAATTCATTTCATTTTTTTTTTTATTTCTTATTTTAATTCTAACTTTAAATTTAAAATTTCCAGTTTTATACCATTTTCTTAATGTCATTTTGTTTAAAGATATTTAACGATTAGCGCGTTCCAGTAAAAGACCTTCTAAGCCTCTTTCTTTGTTCCTCCTAAGATATTAACAGCAGTGAAGGAGAAACTTCAGGAGTATTGTGCAACAATAGAGAAGTGGTGTAAATCAGATGTGGATACTTAAAAAATCCAAGGAACTTTTGGAAAATTTAAAAACAACAAAATTTTACCAAAATCAATAACATAACTTTTCAACTCCAGATACGACCATTCCCCACGATAAATAGTTTTTCAATTCATATGTCGTCACATATACTCTGAAAAAAAAAATACTATGGGTAAACACACATTACCTGGTGATTTTATAAACATTTTTGTGAACATTTTCATTTACTTAACCGTTGATTTTCAAAACCTGAGAACCTTAAAATACCATACATTTTCTCTGTTCTCTCTCCTACCCCAGTAAAATATTCTTCAAACAACACTTTGAAACGACAAAATATGCATACATCGTTGACGACTATATGTGCCAATGTAAGGTACATTTTGTCGTGCATCCTGCAGGTATAGCGAAAAAAGACTCATCTTGAAATATATTGTCGCTGGTGTCAATATGTCCAATGTGCCGATGGACGACAATATGTGCAGCGAGGGTAGGTACATATTGTCAACGACGACAATATGTCTAAAATATGACTAGTATCTTTTGAGGAGAATCATTTAGTTTACTTTTTATATATTGGATTGGCATCACAAGTTTGGGGGTCAAAGAAGTATGCAAGTCAATTAAGCGGGTCAGTCAGTCCAATATTTTTGAAAATGAACCTATTGGCTTATATCCCTCACAGAAATTTTGGGATTAGATAAAATTCAATCAGTGGAGAGCGGGCAACAGTTTATATATTTTTGTAGAACCTCGCTTTATTTCATTGGCCTGTAAATTGTCAAATTAAATTGAGTTGTCTTTTGCTGAGTTCATGCATTGAGTACCTGGGCAATTTATATACTTTTGGTGTATTTATTACAAAATGTACATTCTACTTTATTAAAATGATAGTATCAAATGTCTATGCAAACGCACATCTAGATTACTTGGACCATCAATATTTTTCCATTTTGCTTTTTTTCCCTGAGTGAAATAAAACAAGTTTCTTTAATGCTTTGCTGAATTCATGGATTGAGCACTAAAGCAATAAATATTGACATGTTCTAAATTTTGTATTTACACCGATTCAAATTCATAATTTAGAACATAACTGTCAGGGTTTATTGTACATAGTGAACTGTACATATAACACGTATGACACGTACATGTATCTGTCCAGTTCTATTAATCCATACATGTAACTGATAAATTTGAAGAAGCGCTAGTTCAAGTGAGACTCAAGTCCTGTTTCCTGTTCAAATACTGGTGCAAAAATGTTTGTTTAGCTGCAGTTTCTAATTTTGAGATTTGTTTTTGTTACCATTGAGGTATATGTTGGTGTTTTAAAACGTGTATCCTTGAACTTTGACCTCTTACCGTCCGTTTGATAAGTGGTCGAGTTCACGTGCACTCTACCTAGCCGTGACTTGCATTGTCAATACAATAAAAAATCAATATAGATTAGTTTTTGTCTTCATTTATCATTTCATTACGTAAGAAATATGTCACATTATGTCTCAAGCAGTTTCTTTTGAATGAATGAATTTCTGTATAGTGCAGACGTTATTTTTTAAAGAATGCCTTATAGCACAAATACATACTGCAAGGTTCAATGGAGTACTACAACACTACTCATTTCGGGACATCTATTACAAATATTCAAACTTAACGGATATATATGGTTTTGATTGGGAAGTAAAAATGACCAGAAACCTGTCAAAAGTACTTTGGGTAAAATGTCCTGTTTTCTGCCCCTACTTTATGCACGCACCGCCATCAGGTAAGTGATAAAAAGAAATAATGTTAGATGTGCAGGTAGTTTTGGTCTGATACCTCTCAAAGGTAGGTTTGGTACTCATTAATTGATACAATATAGCGGTAGATGGAAAAGAAATCCTCAATATTTGTAAGATTTGCAATTAAATGAATTTTGTAGATGCATCATATTTCTCCTTGATATTGATGATTTACAAGTAAATTGCCACTTTCATGAACTATTTGAAAGGTATGCCCACTAAAGTTTTCTGAAGCACAAAAGCATTTCTTGAAGTCAGTTTTTGGTGTTGAGAAATGGATACACGTAGTCGCCTTGATTCCATCTTCTTCTTTTATTCAGTCATGAATTGTGTTTTGTGAATCCCGTCCCCCACAGAAAAAAGAAATAATTTTGGATTTTGGAATAAGAAGTATTTTGTCTATGGGAATAAGATGTCCCTTAATTATCACAAATCGTTTTTTTAAATTCACAAGACTTTGGGTAAAAAAAAAACTATCCGCAGTTTACAAATATTTTGTTTTGTCTTAGCTGAAACTAAGATTCATATTAGAATAAAAAGGAAACAAATTTTTTAAATTAATATAACAAATGCAGTGAAGTTGGCTAGGGTGCAGTAGTCATCTAGTGTTAATGAATGTAGTGAAAAATACTATTGAAAACTGAAAAAAAAACTATCATTTCGCCGTAGCACATGCATGTATCCACGCTAAAGAGAAAATCGATAGTTAGTGCACAGCGACATAGGTTAAAAGTTTACAAATGAACATAAGTTGTGAGGTGAACTTCGATAACGCTCTCGAAAATTCAGATATTCAAAGTACGGATCTACACTATATGTACCAATAGTTCTTCTGCAGGCAAGATGTAAGTCATATATGAGTCCTAATATGCATTATATTTTGAAAATTCTGATGGAATAATTTAACAAAGTTCGATAAAATGTTCCATCTCCAAAAGGATGGAAATATGCCTCCTTGATTAAATTATGCAGTGTAAACTAAAAAGCTTCCATGCTATAATTATCTAAACAGTCACTCTCATTCTCTGCAAATGTCCGTTGTATCCTAATACTAGTATTTGCATGACAAAAGGGTCAATTTTCCTTCAACTGCGTGTGCAAGTTGACAATCAAATGATGGTCAACTATTCTTCAACCGTGTATGCCAGTTGAATTTTAAGGCCCTCTTGCCGTGGAAGACTGTTATTTGAAATAATTAGGTAATAATTTTCTTCTCAAGAACAGTAAGGCCACTAAGTGTATGTATATTACATGTACACTAAGGCCATTCCAAGTTTTTTCTCTGTTTAGCGTCCACCCATCTTTCAAAAACCTACCTACCTATTCGCAACCCCCCCCCCCCCCACACACACACACACAAACCAAAAAATAAAACAGACTTTATAGTCATAAAAATGACGTCATTAAAAGGATTTGATTTCATTAATCTATTTTTCTCGTAGACAAATCCTATTCTTCAGCAAAATCAAGGTATTCACTGGTTACAATATTCCTAAAATGACATATTGTAGACAAATATTTTGAGAAATTGACAAAATTCAAGGTTCAATTTTAGGACTCATGATTTTGTTTTATTTTTCTGATAACCAAGGCACATGGGGAAACTAAACATAGAAAAATCTTGGAGCGGCCTAATCTGCAAACATGTAATACTAAAGACGTTGCATTTGCGTTGATTTCACATTGTGACAGTATGCAATCATACTCGGCAAATACGTAGCAGGTATATGAAAAATAAATATCAAGTTCGTAATTTACTTTATGAAGGAAACAATCTGAATTAAAAGCATCCTCAACTTTAACAAACAAGATGTGTTTGTGAATCACTGATGCCCCCCTATGGCAGCTCAAGGCCAAGGGTTAAGTTTTACAGATGTAGGTCAAACTCCAAGGTCAAGAGTTCAAAAGTGTTGGAAGCCAAAGAAAGGTCTTGTCACAAGAAATACATACGTGTTATAAGAAAGGCCTAGCACTAATCGTTCAAAAGTTATAGGCAATGTTAAAGTTTATCAAAAGTTGGTCAAGGTAAAAAGGTTAAAAAAAGGTCGATACCCAAAAGAGTTCTGGTCACACGAAATACACATGTGAAATATAGAAGACCTAGCACTAACGGTTAAAAAGTCATGGCCAAGATGTTTGGTAAGTTTTTGCAAAGTAGGTCAAACTCCAAGGTCAAGAGGTCAAACATGTTGGTATTCTAAGAAAGGTCTTGTCGGAAGGAATAAGCATGTGAAATATGAAAGCCGTAGATTCAACCATTCAAAAGTTATGGGCAAAGTTAAAGTTTTTGCAGAGATTAACAGACAGACGGACAGACAGACCAAAAACTATATATGCTCCTGAATCTTCGATTACAGGGGCAATAGAATATTATACAATGTATAAAATAACGATTGGTGTTACATATTAATCAAACCCCATATGATATCATTTTCAGTGATAAACAATGTTTCTTAGAATATACATGTATATATAGCGATTTTTATTTCCATTTATAAATGTATTAGCAGCAATAAAATTTTAATGTTCAGAATCTGATTTTATTTTTTTTTCTTCATAATCTTCATTTTCACATTAGATTTTGCGTTAATACTTCAGAAATAGGAAATGGAATGCTCCCAGGTCTACGATTCCGTAAAAGACTATTACGGTAAACTTCTGGATGATCGGAATAATCAAACATGTGTGACCTTGGGTTCAGAGGTCAGCAAAACAGTGAGAGAAGCTGTGGCTGCTATACATGAAGAAGTGACCTCTAAGTAACTTAATTAATTAGTTAATAATTATGATATAATATCTTTGTTGGATTTTATATATTCACATTAACTTCACATGGTCAAGTTGAGAAAAATATATATCATTGTTAGCTTGAAAGCATGTCAAAATAAATGGGCATACACATTTTAACATTTTGCAGATTCACTTATGTAGATATCTTCAACATGTATTGTGGAATCTTTTTTATTCGTACAAACCAGGCTTCGTAGATTTCAAATAATTTCTGGTTCTTGAGGACGTCTTGTTATCAAAAATATAGTCTATAGATATTTTTCATTAATTTGTGAATAAGAGGTACCAACAAATCCACGAAATGAAACCCCACGATATAAAACGATTCCAGAGTATTGTATTTATTTAAATAGATTTGATGGATGCGGATTGGTGATTCCAGAAAAGCTGAAGGAAATGAAGATTTTGGATTTGGGAAGCGGAAGTGGGCGGGACACTTTTATTCTCAGTAAGCTGATTGGTCCAGAGGGTCACATAACTGGAATTGATATAACAGAGGAAATGGTATTCCTAACTATATTTTGATACTAGTTTTATATAAATGTCATATCCTTAAAACACGTTTCAAAATTAGATTTTAATGGTCTAACTAATGTATTTGAGTTAATAGTCGTATCTTTTATACCAGGTAAACAATGTAAAATAAAGGATGGGTAAAAAGTGTGCTTTTCTTTTCATACACTAGTGTATACATATTATGTACATGCATTACATATTTCTGAGATTGTAAGCATTGAGTGTCATTCTCACAAATAATTTTATTGTAGGTAGCCATTTCCACAAAATTTATAAACTATCACAGAAAAAAGTTTGGTTATAAAGAGGCCAATACAGACTTTGTACAAGGCTACATTGAGAAGCTTAGAGAAGCCGGACTGAAGGAAAATTACTACGACGTTATCATGTATTGTATCTTTGTAATTCAAAATAAGTTTAATTACTAAAACTAGCACATTTTTACTGATAGCTTGGACTTTTTAGGTGTTAGCAACAAACATTAGATTACGCAAGGATTTTTTTAGACACGAAATTTACAGCAAACATCATTGGTTGACAGTTTGACTTGAAATGAATTCTGTCTATTGAATGTCCAAAGTATCAATGAAATTGTACTTATCATGAAAATATAGTTAGACTTAGACTTATATACACTGTATATTGAAAATTCTGAAAATTAATGAATACTTTACTTAAAAGAATTTAGCTCACAGGCTAGGACCACATGTATCCTAAAATCCCATTACTCTATAAAAAATCTAAATGAATGCAATGTGCTTATAATTTTTTCTTTTTAGTTCAAACGGTGTAATTAACCTCACTCCAGACAAAAGAGCTGTTCTTAAGGAAGCTTACACAGTTTTGAAAGTAATACATTATTCTGTGTTTATAGAAAGTAACATGCCTTTCTTAAGCATATACACACATGTATTTTTAATCAACTTATGATTGTGTGGCGGTCAGAAGGGTTCGATCGCCGGTGGCCAGATAGCTCAGTTGGTAGAGCACCTGACTGGAGATGCATGGGGCCCGGATTCGAATCCCGGTCTGGTCCGTCGCATTTTTCTTCTCTTCCGTTACATTTGGTGCCGTGACCAGGGTTTTGGAAGTGACAGGTGAAAGACCTGGAGGGAAAAACATTAGTTAGTGTTATCGGGGGACCGAAGACCTTTAAGGAGGGAGGAATGTAGCGGTCAGACGGGTTCGATCGCCGATGGCCAGATAGCTCAGTTGGTAAAGCACCTGACTGGAGATTCAGGGGGCCTGGGTTCAAATTCCGGTCTGGTCCGTCGCATTTTTCCTTCTCCCGTTACAATTGTCTCATACTGTTCTGGTACATGAAATGTGAAGATAAGGAACAGTATTAAAGAAAAAAAGTTATATCTCACTGAGCAATTTCTTTAGAATTATAGAGGTTAAGACAGAAAAATTGAACAAATTTTACAATTTGTTACATTTAGTCTTTATTTCTAAACTAGGAAGGCGGAGAGATCCACTTTAGAGACGTTTATGCAGACAGAGAGCTAGACTGTTCGGTCAGAAAAGATAAGGAGTTGTGGAGTAAGATATATATATGATATAAAGATGTGCTATTCAATGAGAATATGCCTCTGAACTAAATAGAGTTCGATTTTTTCTTTATTTTTTGAGAATTTTTCTAAAAGACAATGAATCTAGTCAAAATGACACTCCAACAAATACCTCACCGAGTCAAAAGGATGAGATAGGCTAAGACCCATTTTTAGCTCTTTTCAGCTGTGGTTGAATACACAATCATTCAATCTCAAAAATAAAAATACTGCATGACATTCGAAATGAAACATTTTCTTTTGTAACACTAGGCAACCATTAATTATGATTAAGTAGTTACCTGTATATAAATACCGTTATTTTCTAGATGAGTGTTTATCTGGAACCTTATATTGGAAAGACTTGGTTAGAATGGCGGTAGAAGTTGGCTTCAGTCGACCATTTCTTGTATCAGCAGCAACATTTGTAGTGAACAAGGAAGATTTTCAAAGAAAATTAGGTAAGTAAAAAATAATACCGGTACTTAAAAGCAATAGAACCAGATAATACTTAAAGGGGCATAGACACAGATTTGAAGTTATATTTTCTCAAATTTTCTGTATTATATCATGACTTATATGTTGCTATAGCATTTCACACGGAAATATAATTAAAAAAAACTTTTTTCATATGGAAATTATTGAAACTACCAATTTCTGGACGCGTTTGATTGACATATCCTTTCATTTTCACAAAGAAAACTTTATCCTTAATACTTAAGAAAAGTAGAAATTTTGTTTTGTATTGATGAAAAAAAAGATTAAGATATAATCAAGAAAATTCAGAGTAGAAATGTGAGAAAGCAAAACCAAGTCACCAGTATTGTTAGTCCGTGCTCAGTGCATGATGTGTGCAACTGTTTTGTAAGCAGGACACGAGCTCTGTCATTGTTAATGTTTGCGTTTCACCGGTTGTATACGTTAGTTATCTTCAATTTGTGATTCACAAGAATTGTCATTACATCAAATGTCTGAAGCATATCAGCTTCAAATTTCTTTAAAATATTGTCTAGATGAATGGAACGAGAGTTTTATTAATGGTTTATTTTCTCCAGGTGATGCTCGGTTTGCATCAGTGACTTATCGTCTGTTTAAGCTTCCTTCGGATACAGATTTTGCACCAGCACAAGTCACATACAAAGGAGGTATCCCCGATCACGAGGAGGAATTCAAGTTTGATGTTAAACACACATTCAAGGTGAGTAAAAGAGAAAAAATAATCTTCAACTCCTTCCCCCTCTCTCTATCTCTGTAGGTGATTTTCAAAGGAAAACGTTATGTTTAATTTTGTGTGTTTATGTGAGCATATTTTTATCTTTTGAGGTTTAATAATATGGATTCGTAATGATTTTTGCCCTTTTTATGATGAATGGATAAAAAAAGTGATTTTAAATTTTTTTTCAATTGAGGGTTTTTCTTTAGATAATTTATTTTTTTTTTCCAGAAAGGTAATGCCGTTACAGTAACTGGAGCGGTGGCTGTGTCCCTGAAATATTCCCGATTCTCAGATGAGTTTGTGTTCAAGCCAGTGCCGACGGATGTCAATGGAACAGACGGACATAAAACAACTCCTGATGAGGTAGGAACTGATTTGTATGGGATAGGCTTTGTAACTAGGAAAGCCAGGATAACTGAATTTATATTATAAAACAACTTAAAGCTCTCCATTGACAACGGCTAAAGTGCTTCAAGAAGCAAGTGTATTTTGTCCAAGAACATGGGAAGACAGACCTATTGTTTTCTTTCTTAAATACAAACAGACTGTATGAGAAATTGTCTTTGCTATGTAGTGTAATTGACTTTTAAAGATTTGCCATATTAAAATAAGAGTATAAACATACATATACTGGATCACATTAATTTACAAAAGATAATGAGAAAATAGTTTCATTTTCCGATAGTACAAAGAAACAATATTAATAATTACATCAAAAGCTCTACCTGTACACAATCTTTAGACTTCTTTAATTGTTATGATAGTGTTTCTTTAATTGTTATGATAGAGTTTCTCAGACCCAAAAATATCAAATAGAAACATTTTAATTAATTCAGCTATTTAGTTTATAAAACTTGTGAGTTTGTTTACAAACATACATGTACTGATAAACAAAGTTTCGTAGAAATCAGAACAGATTACCCTCCATTGAAGCAGGACCATTAAAAGGAGCAGAATTAGAAATGCCTAAGATTTGGTATTGGTACATATTCTTACTGTACTCTTAAAAACCTGAAACATCTCTTTTGCTAGGTGGATTTAGAAAATCCATTCGACTACTTGGATAAGCAGCCAGAGAATGGTAAGAAAGCGGAGGCCTCTTGATGTGATGGATCTAGCAAGTCCTTCTGAGATCTGTTTACTGAAGAAATGACTGATTCTCACTAATACAAGAAATGAGGACCAATAAAGATTCGAAATCACAAAATTTTGCCATTGAAGCGTGGATGTGTTTCTGTAATTGGTTACATATATTATTATGTGATATACAGCCATTATGTTGCTTATAGTAATTATTCAAACGATAAAATGCTTTCTTGGTTGCTATATGAGAATAACAGGTATTGTTGCAGCTGTTACAGAAAAAATACATATAACACGCGTAAGCGGGATATGGAAATTTTTTTCTACAATAGCTGCAACATTAATTCCCGTTTTAACAAACAAACAGAGATTTTATTTTTTATATTATTTTATATCTGTATAAATAATTATATAAAGTAGGAATAAGTACGTTAAGTATTGTATTATTGTTAAGTACGTCAATGTATGTTTCATTGATGGAAACCGGTCAAGGAAGCCTAGTGGTAGGGCGTTCGCTTCGTGATCAGGAGACCGGGGTTCGATTCTCGTTCGCCGCACCGCGTCAGACCTACATGTAAGGCGTAAACATAGTGAGTTACTATTCCTTCACCAGCACTAAAAGTGAAAGTTACGGTTCTTTGGGATAAGACCTGAAAAACCGAGGTCCTTTGTCACAATAGGTGTTGGCAAGATAAAGAACCCTCACTGCTCTATGACCTTGAGTACCGTGGGTCTAAATGTGAAGCCCTTCACCGGTATATGGCGATGTCTTTAAAGAAAAAGAAAAAAATCTTGAATGAGACGTGAAACAACATACAATCAATAAATCATTGATGGAAGAGCCATTTTCAAGAAATCTATATAGGTAGCGTTAAAAATATTGATAAACGACAATGGTTTTTATACGAAATAAAGGAGATAATATTCAGTAGATGAAAATATATTTGGATGTTGCGAATCCGAAGACGGACGTATTTTGTATGCAGTTATCTTCCATCCCACTGTCTGTCGGTCAAGGAACAGTTTAATTTCCACTTCCGGACATTAGACAAGAAACCACAAGGCCTTAGTTCAAACTACTTCAACATTTTACGAGAATCCAGTTTGTCGTAAATTTTTTAGTTAATAAATATGTATTCACATACAAAAACGTTGCTGCTAAGGGGGTAAGTCATCGCTATAGATTAAAAAAGTGTTTTTATTTTTAAAAAGTAAAAACTTGACACTAGCAACAGTAGGTGAATATAAATAGTGTTATAATAATAATAATAATAATAATAATAATACTTTATTTAAAGAGGGTAACCCGATTAGTGCAAAACATTAGTCTTCCTCAGGGCCCTCTATGCATGTATAGTACAAATATAAATACAACAGTACAATAATCAGAAAAATACAAGTATATGACATAGGTGAAAGCATTTGAGAAAAGTATATATCATTAAAAGGAAAGTCCTCCTTTCGCCATGAATATTGTTCCTCATGTAAATGAAAATCTCATAAGCGTGCACTTTAAAGTGCTACAAGAATGTTGATGTTTTGTTATAATGAAATAGTTATTCCACACTTTTGCATAAAAACTTAACCCGTATTTGCGCATTCTGAGAAAGTTTATCAACATAGGTAAGTTGAATACACGATCAACAATTATAGAATGCATTTGCTCTTACCAAAAGCCGATATGTCGAGGATTTGTACAGGCCCACTACTCATTCATCTTTTAGATTAATAATTATGGATTCCAATTTCTGAGCTTTAATACCGGTAAATCGGGAGAGAACTGAACGTTGCTTTGACAGTAGTGTTTATACTAACATTGTTATATTTACTAAAGTTTTTCAAATCAGAACTTTTTCTTTCTGTACTTTTTGTAATTAAAATTATCAACAAAAATTACTCCAAACATGCAAAGTTTACACTCGAAATACTTTAATTTTACATTCTCCTTACCGCTGTCAGATTACTAGTAATTGGACTACAATAGAGTCGGACTATTATAAAAATTAAATATTAATCACAATAAGGAACAACAATACGGAATAAATATATATGCATTTCTATTTGATGATGTTATCGAAGAAAAATACTACACATTATGAAATTCAATGGTTGTCCAAATGACCTTGTTTGAAAATATAATCTGTTGTTAGGTCAAATGTTGACTGACGTTTTCACACAAATTATTAGGTCATTAAATGTATTTGCACACTGAATTGTCCACGGATTTTCAGATTTCCCGATCATGACAAGGAGCACACAGCGGTTGTGACTGGTGGGCATGGGATGCTTGCTCCGCTTTGGCACCTGATCCCACTACTTATGTTTTTAGAGTCTATGTTTGCTTTGCTCACAATTTGTATTGTTTCAGTGGACATTTTAGCTTGTTTACTTTCTTATCTTCATAAGAACATCCATACACAACTTTTTTTTATACTGCAGGAATGTAAGTTTTTAAATAAATTACTAATGTGCAATGTAATCTTTAAAAAAATATTTTTTGCTAGCTATATACCACGTCTTTTTCAGGAAAGCTTATTGTTTTATATGCAGTTGTTTCCCATTGTTTTAATCCTTTTTGTTTTGTATGCAAGTGTTTTTTTTTATACTTTTGTTTAGTCTACAATTTTTCTAAAAATTGTTTGTCCCCAGTGTATCCAAAGCCTTCGGTTTCCATTGTTTTTAAAGCCGTTTGTTTCGTTTTCAAAGGTTTTTTAAAGCCTTTTATTCCCTCTCATTTGTTTTAAAGTCTTTTTTGTCTCCCATGTATCCCTAGAACTTTGTCTCTATTTTTAAAAATAGTTTTCATTATTCAATTACATGACAAAATAAGGCTTAAATGCCAGGGGTGGGACCTAATATTCAATATATTTAAAGTTTTCATACAAAGACTTTAAATTTGTCATTATCTCCATTTTTGATACATGCAACTTTCACAATTGAAGTAATGTATTATCTCTTGCTAACCCTTTCAAAAGATAGTTCACATATTTTTAAAAATCTTTTTGCACGACTGCATTATCAAGTTATCTATATTGTACTATTAATTAATTATTTCTAATCAATTTGTCTAATTCAAGCCCTTTGTCTTGGTTTCAAATGTTTTAAGTCGTTTGTTTAGCCTCCATTCGCATTTAAAGCGTTCGTTATAGCACAGCTATGTAAAATAATCGAACTAAGAGACACATTTAAAGAAAGTTCTATTGTTTTAGTTTTTATTTGTACAGCAGCAAGTTTAAAAAAAATCAATGTCATTTATGTAATACTGAATCATGATTTTTAAATATTGACAATGTTTTCTTTTTCTCATTTGCTTTTGAAGTCTTTTGATTTACCTCAAATTGTATGGAAATCCATGTGTGCTTTTTTATTAATTCTTTTGTTGTTTTGACTCCAACTGGTCCTTAAGCCTTTTATATTTTGTGTCTAATTATTTTTAAAGCATTTATTTTTGTTTCATATGTATTTAAAGCCGTGCCTTTTGTCTGTAAGTGCTTTTAAAGCGTTTGTTTCTAGCGTAGACTTAAATTTGTCACCTTCTTGCAAACTGAAGATCAAAAGAACATTTCTGTATCAAAACATTTCTAAACCTAAGATCCATGCATGGTATATTTTAAAAATACTTTGCCGAAAAATTATCAATTAGTTTTCTATCGACCATTCAATATTATGTCCCTAGGGTAAACAAAATTTTCAGAAAAATGTTAATATGATATTACTGAAAATTCATTTAATTAAATCCCTCTATGTTTCCTGAATTTAGATGTTTTAATGAGTTTTGTATCACAATAGTCAACTTACAATTAGAGAAAATGGTTCATGCCTCATGGTAGAAAGAAATATTTAATTGCTTATTTTTTTTTCAAATATTAGATAAACTATATTTGTCCCAAGAAATAGAACAGATACCCCACTACCATGCATCCTTACTGCCAGCCATTCGTGCACGAAATTTTATAGGGAGTAATCCTGTCACTCCCCGGAAACCTAACGCGCAGTAAAGAGGACTCTTGCAAATACTCCGAATACGATTTGGGAGTTTTGAAGAATAAAGAAATGGAAGCCATTTGATAAAATTACATACTTTCTATATGGGTACCCAATAATGCTCTGTTTGATACATATAAAAAAACATAAGAATCGAATGGTCATTTATTAATGAATAAATGACCATATATACTGTATTTAATATACAGAACCTAAAATATACAACACCATTACATAATAGATATAGGGACGTTAAACAACAAACAAACAAAAACAAACATAATAGATATACAAAAAATGTAGCAAACATAATAATATATTATAATATATAAATCTTTAAATTATAGTACAATTTATTATGCAATGAGGTTACACAACAATATGGACGTTAAACAAAAATACAATCAATCAATCAATACACGACAATGAACAGTTAACAAAAAATATATATTTCATATGTAGGAAGTGTTAAATTCTAGTATTCTATAAGTGTTTTGATTCACATGAAATATGAAATGAAATATGGAGATAACGAACAGTATTCAAGCTCAAAGTCCATTAAAACAATACAAATCGAGAGAAGAGCAAACCTCCAAAAACATCAGAGGTGGGATCAGGTGCCATGGAGGAGTGAGCATCCCCTGCCGACCGGTCACACCCGCCGTGTGCTGGGGAAATAACAGAAAAATCTGTCAACAATTCAGTTTGTAAATAATGGCCTAACAATTAGTATGAAAAAAACTTCAGTCAGCATATGACTGAATGATAACTTACGAACTTACGAAATGATGACTTCAAACGAGACTGTTGATATTTTTGTTTCATCAACTTTTTGGTCAATAACTTACCTCGTTTTAGAAATTGTTCATACACATGCTCTTGCGTATCGAATCAACTGAGAGATATACACCCCATATGTAGGTGATAAGGGTATTTTGCTGCATAAGTAAAGGAAGTTAACGATTGAAAAGTTAAAGTCATCACGTTTATCATAAAGCTTTGTTGTTAGATTACATTAACGTTTTTACACCCCACGCAACTAACTGACAGTCAGTCAGTCAGTCAGTCCGTCAGTCCTGTTTTTTTGTTTTGTTTGTTTTTTGTTTTGGTCAGCGCAACTCTTCCTAAACCGCTGCACAGAATTTCGTCAAACTTTGCAGATATTTCGGACATAGTGTGTAGTTGTGCATCTTGCCAGGAATTTCTGATTCCATTATTTTCTGGGAATTTTGGCACTTTTCAACTTAAATTTTGGCCATTTCTTGAATATAGAGATGAACTGTTTGTCAGTGCAACTCCTCTTAAACCGCTGCTCAGAATTTCGTCAAACTTTGAAGATATTTAGAACACAGTGTGTACTTGTGCATATTGCCAGGAAATTCTGTTTTTCCATTATTTTTTGCCTTAGAGTTTTGGCTTCTAAAGAAACTTTCTAGCTACATAATAAGGAAATCCACTGGAATCAGCTTTCGTAATGAAAGTTTATATGAAATATTTTATGACCTTAAAAGACCCCTATTGATTTTGAGATGAAAATATTGATTCAACATACACATAGACAAAAAATCTTGGATAGAAATACAAAAAAGTTCTCCCCTCCCCCCCCCCCCCCACACACACACATACATACAAACACACACCTTATATTAGTGCTTTGCCCTATATAATTTCATAAGTACAGTATATAAATAAATTTATATGAGTACATCATAATTTTGTTTCCATCAATTATTTACAATTTTAAATGTGTAAACTGTCATACGTTGGACATGGACTTACACTCATTAGCAAATCGAAATCAATGAGGAATTTAAATAATAATTTGTCAACATAATTCTTGCACTGCGTCGTGGGTAAACTTTTCACATTTTCGACTTCTTCTCAAGAACCACTTGGCCAATTTCCACCAAACTTGCCAGAAAATATCCGTGGGTAAAGGTATTTCAAGTTCATTCAAATGAAGGGCCATGCCTTCTTCCAAGAGGATATAATTAAGAATTAGTGAAAAATTAATGGTATCTTTTAAAAATCTTCTTCTCAAGAACCACTGGACAAGGTAAGATGAAACTTATATGGAAACATCCTCAGATACATGTAGTAAAGACTCAATTTTATTAAAATCATAACCCCAGGAGTAGGAATGGGCCACAATGGACGATCAAAGTTTACATAGAAATACATAGAAAAAAATCTTCAAAAATCCTCTCCAGAACCACTGGGCCAAGAAAGATGAAACATCCTCAGGTAGAGTAGATTCAAGTTTGTTCAAATCATGACCCCCAGGGGTAGAGCGGGGCCACAATGGATGATCAAAGTTTTACATCAGAATACATTGGGAAAAATCTTCTTCTCCAGAACCACTGGGCCAAGAAAGATGTGGAAACATCTTCAGGTAATGTAGATTCAAGTTTCTTAAAATCATGATACCAAGGGGTAGGGTGGGGCCACAATGGACGATGAAAGTTTTACATTTGAATACGTAGGAAAAATCTCAAGTACAGCAAAGCCATGATTGGTTATATTTACATGGAAACATCCTCAGGTAGTATAGATTCAAGTTTGTTCAAATTATGACTCTCTTGCCATAATGGACGATCAAAGATTTACAAAAGCTTCTTCTATTAATTTATTTTATACTCTTTGGATCCTCTATGGATTGTTGTTTTATACTATTGTGACCGTTAAGGCCCTTGGGCCTCTTGTTGAATTAAACTGTTTATTTAAAGTGCACCGTCCCATTTCTTTTGTGTAGGATTGTCAAGTTTTGAGGGAGCGTGGGGTGTGTGAGCTTGCTCACTTTTTCTTTCATTTATCTAGTAAAATATCCAAATATGAAACAAATGTGTCAGACTCTGTAGTATCTTTTATTTCAAGCTCACTGGGATATATCGTGTCGACATATGAATGAAAATAACTATTGATAATACGTCGTCGATATATCTAAACGTCGGGTTGAAGGCCACAGTAAGAGATTTTTTTCATGTATACGATTTTGCATTAATTCTACTTTATATGAATACAAAAAAAGTCTGCTTACAACAGGGCGCAATTGGTACCCATGGGAATTCCAACAGATTGTTGGAAGACCTGGTCTCCAAAAACCACATTAATATTGTCAATCAGAAACTCAAGCCTCTTTTTAATATCAACTTCAGAGTACTTGTGTGTACGATCAGAATGATTTTTAACAAAATAATTTTGCAAATGACCAATGACAAGGTAAGTAAAAGAGAAAAGGACTTTGCTTTCATAGCCTTTATACTGATATGGGAGCGGGGGGGGGGGAGGGAGGGGGTTATCGTTTTGTGAGTTCAGTGCTCACAGTACCTCTGATTTTTAATTGTTTTGCTTTCTAATATTAAGATAAGTTTTATTCATTTAGGTTTAATAGATTTAAATTTGGTTCTCTTAACGCTGACCTTAAAACATATACATCGTTTTAGAACTGTGACCATTTCAGATTTTACTTTCTTTTTATTCATATCTTCAGATATTGATTTTGGTTCCTTTTAGGGAGTTTATAAAATGAATTTTAAAGTTACATAATGAGTCAAAATCATGTGTTTCTTTTCAGATATCTGTATCAATAAGCGAAAGATTAATGACAAATATGAGTATAGCGAAGATATGACAACTAAACTGCACTGCAAAGCAAGAAAAAGACTGGACAAAATAAGTGCCGGAAAAACAAAGGTTGTATCTACCGTTTCGTTGTTATCGTGCATGTCAAGTCACTTTTATTTTTAGCGTAAGCTTGTAAACAACATTCAATCGGAGCATGCAAGTTGAGAAATATGTTCTAATAATCTTTTTTGAAGATTGTATCAAAATTCTTGGTCTACCGATATTCATTTTTTGGTACTTGAGACCATGATAATGTCTTCAACTTTTCTGCGCACGCGTTCAATAAGGAGGAAAAAGTAAAGTAATATTTTCGTGTTGGGCCATACAGAAATTATTTTTTTCTCCATAAAAATAGATTTTTTAGGTTCCCAAACCTGTAATTTTCTGAAACCTAATACTTTCAGGAATTGAACAAAATTTGCACGGGTCGTGCAAAAATTCTATATTTGTCAATTTTCCGTTTGTGCGTCACAATGTCGCTTTAAGCATTGTTTATTTCTTTTGATCAATTGCTAATAAATTATCCATCTTCGTATTCAAGTTTTTATTTTCGATAGTAAATATAAATGAAAATGTATTTGTTTTAATTACAGTAATCTTCGCCAAAGAGATTGGGAGAAAAATTATAATTTCAATCCTGTAGTGGGTGTGTCCATTCTGAGTATGGAACTTACGAAAAAGGAAAAATAATGAAATGTTCAGTGGGCCCACTTCTTTATAATTGTCATAAACATTAGTTTGATCTTATTTGATTGCTTGTGTGTTTTTTTTTTCTGAAGACGGATGTTGGAATAGGTTATGCCCCCTTCTCTCTCCATTACGTTACATTAAAAACAAACATACAGTTTGATTTTAGACATTTACCAACGTGGAGCGATAAAAAAAATGTGATGCCATATGCCATAACAAATATGTGTAAAAGTCAATACAACGACCACAGTGTCCTTTCCACATATTAATGGTTTATTTTTTCCTTTAATCAATCAACAAGAAAATAATCACATATAAGGTTCTATTAAAATTTAACCTGATGGTGTCAACACAGTTACCATTAATTTTAACACGATGGTATGAACCCGGGTTTCTATAGGTACAGTGTAATACATGTAATTTCCTGATGGTGCCAACCCAGGAGATTTCGTAATTTTCCCCGAGAAGGCAGAAGAAAACATATAGCGAGCTGTATAGCTTAATTGTTTTGTTTTTTAGGCTGTTGAATAATTGTGAACATTGGAGTTTTTTCACGCTCATGCTTAATAATTATTGTTAAAATTTCAATTTGCTCTTGATATATGTATAAAAGTCAATTTTAAGTTTCATTTGCTGCTATCTTTTGTTTGGAGCAGAGATTCTCCATTCGTTGACAGTCTAATAGGATGACGAAGACAAAGAATGACGTAAGTACAGCGATTCCAACGACCCCCATACTCACAGCTACAGGACGATCCTCATACACACTTATCTTTGTCAGCTTAAACGCTGAAAATAAAAATAAAAACATACACATGTATTTGTTTTCTTTTGTTATCATTCGGAACAAATACAGACGATATTAACAGAGACAATGTTTATGACTTTTCTTTACATACCTTTTTTGTGTTTATTTAAATTTTTGGCGGAAAATACGGAATTGAAATTGTATATTACACCATACATTACAAAAATATTTATGGATTATTAAAAATATTTTTTCCGAATTATTCCTTAATTGAAAATTGGGAAAGATATTTTTTTTATCTTAAATCTTTTAAATATTTGCATAAATGTCAATAAGATTCTTTACTTTAAAAATTCGTATAGTTCTTTGATATGAGTTGCTAAGAAGGTTTGCATTTAAAATATGTTTTGCTTAAATTAAAAACAAAATGTCCTGAAAATATTTGAAAATTGGATGTGGGAGACATAAATAATGATTGTGTTTTTTCTTAAAATACGTTCAAATAATATCTATATATTGCCAAATTTTCCTTAAATACTAAAAAACAAAGGATATCTAAACGCAGAAATGTGTTTCAATTGAAAAAAAATTATAATTTACCACTGTCACTTGATTCGAATTAAGATTCAACTTGTTACCTTCAAATTTATTCTGAAATCATTGTAAATATTATTTAATCAATTTCAATTATCAAGGCTTAAATTGTTCATAGAACTAAAAAGTAATAAATATCTATGTCAAATGCTGACTGACGTTTTTCATACTAATTGTTAGGCCATTATTTACACACTGAATTGTCGACGGATTTTTCCGTTATTTCCCGATCATGACAAGGAGCACACGGCGGGTGTGATCGGTCGGCAGGGGATGCTCACGCCTCCATGGCACATGATCCCACCTCTGATGTTTGGAGGTCCGAGTTTGCTCTGCTCCTATTTTGTATTGTTTTGATGGACTTTGAGCTTGAATACTGTTCGTTATCTCCATATTTCATTTATATATATTCCTTTGATAATTTGTTTCGCAACATAGAAATAGACAAAAGATATTAACCAGTGCATAAACTCTTCTTTTATCGGACGAATACAGTGGGAAACTAAGTCGAAAATTTAAATGTCTATCTCTTTGAGTCCGTCATTTCGGCTGTCTTTGAGGTTTTTATTTAATTTCTCAACATTGCTTTCGAAAACTGTGGATTGTAAATTATCTATGTCAAAAACCTTATCAAAACATATTTTCAAATACATGTATTACGGTCATTTATCTCCTAAATATTAGATCAAAGTATTGCTAAAGGTGGCATATTTAAATTTTAATATTCCGTCTACCTTATCATTAAATAGGACCCACGGCGGGTGAGACCGGTCGGGGGTGGGGGGGGGGGCTTACTCCACATCTGGAATTTCCGGGGATTCGTGTTTTATGTCTTGTTTACAGATTTAATTGTAGATTTTTAAAAATCGATCATCATTTGTTATCTTTACCTTTTTTAATTTTAATTATAAACATTTGTTAAACAAAATATTTCATCCCTGTGAAAAAGACGAAGATAAGGAACCATGGTCCTTAATCCTGTAAACATACGATCAGAGCAAAACACAGACCCCTTGAAATACTAAAGGTGATATTAATCCCTAAGAGGCGATAACAACTCCTATCAATCGGTCACACTCACCGTCAGACGTCTGTCTTAATCAGGTAAACGGAGATATCCGTAGTCAACATTAGTCTAAAACAATGAGTTAACAATTTTTATGAAGTATGTCAGTAAAAATACGATCGAATGATAAATTGTCTTTGCAGGAAAGGTCATTATAAAGACTCCAGAATTTCTAAAATGCTGATTTTAAACAAGATTGTAGAAAACCCTTAACATCAACTTATTTGTCAGAAGCCTGTGTAATTGGTCTAGAATTAATCTCACCATTCGTGTCCTTTGGGTTAACATGGAGTTCTTTTTTTATCTCCTCTACTGACGTAGTGGTGGAACTGCCATTAAAAGACTTTGTAGATGTGATAGCACTGCTTACAAATCCTTTTCAAAAAACAAAAACAAAAAAAAAAACAAACAAAAAAAAAACAAAAAAAAACCAACGCACTATTTTTGTTAACCTTGAAGAATTTATAATTCATAAAATTTGGATGTGATCAACTGGCACCCAATGAATAATAATAAGATTGTACCAATGACTCACACTAATGACAATAATTTTTTTAATAAAGTGAGAATGTTTCGACAAACTACATTTTCTGTAATGTAGCAATGTTAATCAGCAAATGTTCTGGTTCTTATCAAACAAATGACACTCTTCGATCATACGTAATTTTGACACCTTTCCTTGTGTAATATACACCGTAAATAATTACTGGATATTCCAATTTTACTGGATAGTAAGATTTGGATTTATTTAACAATTGTAAAATAAAGAAAGATAAAATATTCAGCTTTAAATATGTTATATATGAATCTGTCAAGTGTCCCGCTCTATAGTATTATAATAATCTGCTGAATAAATAAGGAAAAATTCCCCATAAGAAAAAAGAAAAACATCTCACTCCAAAATAAATATTCACATTTGCTTCTGCTTAAGCTTCGCACTTAGAAATATCTATACTCACCCTCTTTGTAACACAGAGCACCAAGGACAGAAGACGGGTTTGTGTAACTACACTGTCTCCAGGTCTGGGTTCCACCTGTAGATATCAGAAAACACACCTCTCCTGAGGGAGCGGCAATGGTTGTAGTAGTCGCCATAGGATCCCCATTCCAGTTCATAGGGGTACCTTTGATGTTATGGAGACCAAGCCACAGCCCCGTGTTTAAACCTGATGAGCTGATATTTGTGAAAATGTAATGAAATATGAAGATAACGAACAGTATTCAATCTCGAAAGTCCAATGAAACGATACAAATTTGGAGCAGAGCAAACATGGACCTCAAAATTAAGAGGTGGGATCAGATGCCATGGAAGAGTGAGCATCCCCTGCCGACCGGTTACACCAGTCGTGTGCTCATTGTCATGATCGGGGGAAAAAACCCAGAAAAATCCTTAGACAGTTCCTTGTATAAGTAATGGCCTAACAATTAGTATGAAAAAACCAGTCATCATTTGATTTAATGATAGGTTGTATATGCTAACAAGGTCATTGTATCGACAGTAAAACTTGCGAAATGATGAATTCAAACGAGACTGTTGATATCTTTGTTTCATCAACTTGTTTGTCAATCAAACTATTTAATAATCCTGATAAAACAATACTGTGCAAAACGATCATCTTAGCAACATCAATTTGATTTCATAGACCATTTCAATTTTAAAGATGTTTACAAATTCAATTCACATAATTGTAATCACATTTTCCTGCACAACTCATTAAAATGTGATATGTTTTATATGAGTTTAAAATTTAACAAGTGAATACAGATGTACATGTGGGATAAATACTATTTTCAGCTTTATTTACACCTTATTTTAAACTTCCAAGATACAATATTCCATCCCAAAAACTGTTAAAATAGGAACCCGAATTGAAGTCATGGGTATCTTGCATCTTATTGTATTTATATGCAACATAAAGTAATTTATACCATCTATCGATTCATTGTATTGTTATGTATTCTTTCCGGATATTTTAATGCCAAACTCAACCTGGGTTTATATCGGTAACTTGATCTTATCACGTGATCATTGTTTATCTCTAGTCTGCACACTTTGTCTGAAAAATGTTTTGACCCACCGTTCAGCAAAATTATTTCCACTTTTGTGCATTATTCTGTTTCATGGATACGGTTTATAGACACTGTAAGTTATTTATGCGAACAATAACATGATGTTTCTAGTTAGAAAGGCTTGAATTTAATCGCAGCACTTTGTGGTATCTGTGACTGTACATCATGCGGTGATGCTGAGGATAGAATGACATTAAAAGTACTTATTCTGGAGCATTCATTTATACGCAGATTTGAGAACTTTGTATCAATTAGTTCTGACCACCGGGTGACGCCGAATTTAAATCTTAATTCAGAGGAGCTATAGATTTTCTATTTAGGTTATGGGGGAGCGTCACTGGCTCAAATTCGCGCGCAAGGAACTCGTTATGTAAGAGACTTGCGTCCAGATGTTGTTTTGTTACAATCTGTATCAAACGATTTGTGTCGGAGAAACACATTAGTGGAAGACATTTTTCATGAACTGGCGGACTTTGTAATTTATCTCCGTGAAGCGGAAGATGTGAAAAAAAGTAGTGGTGCTTCAGACATTGCATAGAATTTCCCCGACAAGACGTATCAGGTTTCATGTGGACACAGAGTGGTTTAACAAGAGAGTTGATGAATTAAATCGACGCATGTCCAATTACTTGCAGAATGTATTGGAAGCAGCATTCTTTCGCCTATCTGGTTTCTGGTGTCCAAATAATCAGAGGACGGTATTTCTGGCTGATGGGGTCCATTTGAATAATCAGGGAAATAAGAAATGTTATAATAATTTGAGAGCTGTTATTGTTTCCTTGATAAAGTCTATCAATAATGGTGGGTACATGTTTGTGTTCACTTATTATATGTTGCTAAAAAATAAGAAAAGTATCTTCTTAATTAAGTATCAGAAACACTTTGGAAAAGTATTCATATTTCACATTCAGACCGTCGATTAAATTATCATAAAAATTAAACATGACCTTATTAATGATGTTACCCCATATTAAATTTTTCTAGTACCAGAAGGTTCTGAATCGCATTCCTATTAGAAAAATTATGAAAAGCGAATATTAAACTGTAAAAATTTGTAAACATATTTTTATACTAAAAGAAGTATGCCAAATTATTTTGAATGCATTTTTAGAACAATATGCCTTTTCAAACAGAATTTGAATTTACAATTAACAACAATGAACATTCAAGAATGCATTGGGTTTGTCTGGTCGTCACATGAAATAGTTATTCAATGAAGCAATGTATTCACATAACATCAATTACTATGATTATGGAATCAATTTAATTCGCCAAAAAGATTTAGTATTTCATAAATTCAAATCCCCTTTTCTAAAAGTTAATCACACACAAATTCTGAGGATGAAATACTCACTTGGCAACAGAGCTGAGACGACTCATAATAAAAGAGTACTGATCATCATCTATGATGGGGGCTAGCTGCCCACCCTCACACCGACATTTGTCCATGGCGTCCTTTACGGTCCACGTGGTCTGATTGGGTGTTTTGGACGTCAGCCAGTAGCAGTGTCGTCTGTATTTCTGGTCGGCTGTAGAGTTCCAGGATAAACAGAGATTGCTCCAATCTGGAAAATGATATGATATAACATACCCATATCAAAAATTTAATTTGCCTTATCAGAATAAATATTGCTTCATTGCATCGCGTTTTGGAGATTTTTGTGAAATTAAATTAAATGCTTTTTTCTTTTTTTTTCTACAATTTATTTTTATTTTCATAAAATTTTCATGGATTAACTTCTTGTAGACGAATGTACGACTAAAATTGAAATTCTTCATAAATGCTCAGAATATATGTAGATGAATTCAAATTCCTATTCTGTTATAGAAAATTGAAAAAAAGTAGACATTTATAAGTAAATAAAAGTAGATATTTATTAATGCATGTCACAGTGTGCAAGTGATTTCAAGTTTCGAAAATTGCAATGATCTTATATCCCGTAGGTAGAGCCAGGTATTGGTAAAAATACATGCATACCTTCCATGTAACACAACATATCTGTCGTTTTGTAGTCATTGAGACACGATTTGTCTTGTGTTTGATTTTCGTGATATACTCCAGAAAGACCTTTTGAATTAATTACGGCACAGTTCTGATCGCTGCCACCATTGGGTTGATCATAAGGATAATTTGTCATAGTGTATAAAAATTCATTTCCGGGGATACTACTGCCATCAAAGTTTACCCAGGTGTTCTCTTCAACAATGTCCATCGTTCCTATAAATGTGTCACCTCTGAAAAAAATATTCGTTAAATTATAATTATCTTAGTTATTATCTAATGTATATATGACGCAAAATAAATTGCCGTTACATGCTAAGTCGCTTGGTCCCAATGAAATATTTTTTCTTACACAATAAATGTACTTGTAGTCAGAGAAAATGTTTAAAAATAAATCATGTAGCTGGTTTTCTTGGGGTTATCAACAATATTTATCTCAGTCATAAACTTTGTTGACAAAACGCTATGAATATTTAGATAAGTGCGACCACTGGACTTCCAAAAGCTTAACATACCTAGATCAATCAACACTATATAAACAAACAAGAATACTTTCAAAATCAACTTTTAAGGCGGAGAGGAATACGGAGAAGGACTTACGCTGACGATAGTCGAAGGTCAAGGAGGAAATTATACTGGTAGCTGTCGATGTAGGGCGCCAAACGGCCGCCACTCAGAGCACAGAACTCGTCTGCTTCAAACGCTGTCTTTGAAGAGGAGGAACGGTCGAACCAGTAACAATGTTTCCGATATTTTCCATCAAGGGATGAAATCCATTCTAAGCAGGATAAAGAGTTAGTCCCTATCAAAAGATTCATAAAATAAGAACTAATTAAGTCTTCTAATTAACTATTTACGACCAATTTGGATCAGAGGCAGGTTATTGACAATAATGTGATGTTACAGGTCTTTCAACATTCTATTTTAAGCTATCATCTATCGTTTTGATATGCATTTTTAGGTATGTTTATATCTAAAGTTTTTATTCTTCAAGGAGGAATGCCACACCAGAATTTTAATAGAACTTTAAGACATCCCTTTTAAACTCTGGTTTTAGTACTGAAAGACAAATATTAGATCTTCATTATTTTATATGATTTTTTTTGCATTTTTTTTTCAGAGAAGATGAAAAAAATTAATTTGCAAATAAGATGTTTTATGGTTTAAAATTTGATGTTATTAAATGCATTTTATGAATGCCTAATAAAATATGTAAAGAAAAGCTAGATAGACATTTTAATTTTTTTAATTAAAATTATTCATAATATGATATACGGAAAATAACGAATAGTATTCAAGCTCAAAGTCCATTTAGACAATACAAATCGGGAGCAGAGCAAACATGGACCTCTAAAAACATAAGAGGTGAGATCAGGTGTTATGGAGGAGTGAGCATCCCATGCCGACCGGTCACACCCGCCGTGTGCTCATTGTCATGATCGGGAAAAACAGAAAAATCCTAGACAATTCAGTGTGTAAGTAATGGCCTAACAATTAGAATGAAAAACGTCAATCAGCATTTGACTTAATGATACCTACGGTTGTATTTGCTGACAAGGTCATTGTATCGACCATAAAACTTGTGAAATGATGAATTCAACTGGGAGACAAAAATCCATATGCAGGTAATAAGGGTATATTGCTACACAAGAAGGGGAAGTTGACGATTGAAAATTTGAAGACATCACGATTATCATAAAGCTTTTTTGTTTGGTTACCATTAAAGTCTTTTTCTAGTAAAATATCCAAATATGAAACAGATGTGTCAAACTCTGTGGTATCTTTTATTTCAAGCTCACTGGAATATATCGAGTCGACATACGAATGGAAGTAACTATTGTTAATCGACAATACGTCATCGATATATCTAAATGTCAAGTTGAAAGCCACAGCAAGTGTTTTCTTCTTCTCATGAATAAGATTTTGAATAAATTCTGCTTCATATGAGTACAAAAATATGTCAGCTAACAGGGGGACGCAATTAAAACCCATTCGAATTCCAACAAATTGTGGAAAGACCCGATCTCCAAAAACTACATAGATATTGTCAATCAGAAAATCAAGCATCTTTTTAATATAAATTTCAGAGTACTTGTATGTACAATCAGAATGCTTTTAACCAAATAATTTTGCAAATGACCTATGACAAGGCAAGTATATTTACTTAATGGTGGGGAATGGCTGAGTTTTTAAGTATGCACATCTGATTTACACCGCTTCTCGAATGTATTGTTGCACAGTACTCCTGACATTTCTCCTTCACTACTGTAAATATTTTAGTGAGGAGTAAAGAAAGAGACTTGGTAGTACTTTTATTGAAACCCGCTATGTATCTTTGTTTGTGAGGATTTTCATGGAGTTTTGGAATCCAGTATAGGTATGGTAATTCAAGTTCATTTTGATTGTTGGGAATATTAAAAATATTTAAAACTGACATATGGTTTTGAAGAATTTCCTTCTTACAAAGGGAGCTATGGGTATAAGTTGGATTACCACTTGCAGAATTAAATCCCAGTTCTTCTAAAATACAATTCAAATAATGAGCCTTACAAACAAAGACAATGTTGTTACCTGCCTTGTCAGCGGGGACCAGTACATACTGATTGTGTAATCTATCTAATTCTTGTTTCACTTCTTCACTTGTCGAAGACAGAAGATTGATAGATGGTTTTCATATTGCCCATCAATCGCTTAATGCGCAATTTATACATCCATCTGAAACATTTAATCCATTCTGACATAGTTTTTCATATTTAGCCCATCGTCTGAAGTAATCTTCTACTGAATTCATAGTATATTTATAAAACTATGACACCAGTTGAACTATCGGTGTTCCCTAAACTTTGGCCCTCTATTATAATAAGTGATTTAAAGTCCTTATTACTAACTATATTTACATCACCAGTTATGACGTGTCCAGCAGGACTATATTTGTAGGGTGAAGATGAACATGAATGGAGTATTATGTTTCACATTCTTGATATCTAAGCACTGTTGAGTTTTTTTTTTAAATACTAATTGTCGATGTATTTGTGAGAAATACAAGGTGTGGACTTCAACTTGAAATATGGTGGAATACAAGATTGGACCTTTTTGGGATTAAGAATATTTCTTATTTTAACTGCGTCAATTCCTTTGTTAGTATATTGAAGTTTAAAGAACAAACGGGTTGTTTGTGCAGTATTTTCTTCCGTGAAACATGGCGGTTTAAAGAGCCTATGATTAGCAATATCCATTATCACAGATCCGAGCCTTTATTCTGGAGTCGAAGAATCCAAATATGGACTTTCCTTGAAAGTAAATTTGAAGATAAAACACATCGTTTGTGCATATTTTTTTTAAACCTATGGATAAAATTTCATTTGACTAGTCACAACTTGGGAGAAAATGTTAATCAATCATATTTGAAAAAGAAATTGAAATGAAATTGCAAAATTTTAGGGAAAATAATTATTTTAATATTTGTACCAATTCCGATCAAAATTAAACTGATCCCGATCAAACTTAACACAAAATAAATAAAAAAATAATTTAGTGCCTTCTCTATGTATTTACCGCTAAGAAATCTAATTGATTGTCAAGATCAATTACTTTTTAACCCGTATAAACCGAAACAAACTACTTTTTAACCCGTATAAACCGAAACAAACTAGTTTTCTTTTTGGTGAAAATGTTATCTATTTTCAATTATTATAAAATTCTGGTTGGGATCAGTTTAATTTCGATCGGGATTGGCCAAAATGTAAAAAAAGAAAAAAATTTCTTTAAAATTTTGCAATTTCATTTTAAAATATGATTGTTTAACATATCCTTTGTAGCTGTGACTTTTTAAAAAAATATATTATCCTTAGGTTTTGAAATTATTCACAAATAATGTGTTTTATTCTCATAAATAATTTTTAGTAAAATAAAATTAAAATGTTTCCCTGGTTTTTCTTTACATATTTTAATAGATAATGTATATTAGGCATTTATTAACAGCAACTCTTTAACTCTAAAGCATTTTATTTGCAAATAAAACATTTTTATCATTTTCTATGAAAAATTGGGAAAAAATTCTTATAAAATAATTAAGAGCTTATATCATCCTTTCATAGCTGAACCATAACTTAACAGGGATGTCTATGAAATAAAATTTTAGTATGGCATTCCTTTTCAAAGCTACGCTACAATTTGCGTCAGTTAAAAATAAAGCTGGATTTTTTTTTTTATTTTATTCACCAGAAAAAGTCATGAAAATTCTGTAAATTATACAAATGAAATCGAACGAGTTATAAAGATATCAAATCATAATATTATATTCATATACCGATTGAGAATGAACTGAAAAATTAGAAATAGAGAGATGTTTACATTCAGAAGCATTGCTTTCTTTAATCTTTGATCTCCTCTAATGAGAAATACGTACCCTGGATGCATGAATATTCATAATTTGACGGAGTTCTTTCATCAGAGTGTTTTTTCTTATCAAAAATATATAAGACTAGTCCCTGGAGGATTAATATGAGTGTATTTATGTTTGAAGTTTATTATTCTGTCCTTCATGGGAATTTTAAAAATGAATTTTAAAAAATAAGTGAATGAAAATGTATCTGTTTTTCATTTCAAAATATCATTTATCAAGTTTTAAAATTTTCAAAGCAATATTCACATTACAGATTACGTATGATAGTACGCATTCCTTACTTTTCAAGTAGATTTTAACAAAGAAAATGTTACAGATTACATATGGTAGTATCCATTTCTTACTTTTCAATTACATTTTAACAAAGAAAACTTTGTTTTAAATTCAATAGAAAGAAAATAACAAAGAACAGTTTCAGTATAAATCTGGCCCTGTATTTTTCTAAAATATGAAAGTGATGAAACAAATTAAAATTCATGCTTTCTGAAATGTTGAAACTCCATTTACTAAGATCAAACAAATCTTTTTTCCTAATTTGATTTCCTAAATGCTAATTACGACGTCATAAACATGTGCATTTTCCCGTATTTTCCTAAGAAGTTGCAGAAGACATCAATTTTAGTGAAATTTTCTTTCAAATAATATATATTACATGCATCGCCTACAAAGATTTTGAAAAGTGTAATTTTTCAAAGAATATTACACAACATATCCGAATATTAATTCGGGCGATGACTGTGGACACTATTTTCTCAAGGAAAATCTCCTATGAAACGAGTCATTTTTAGGCTTTTTCTGCTTAAAACTTTAGAAAATATGAAATAAGTGGGGTCATATTTCCAGAATGGTTCTCCTTCATGCCATATTCTTTCAGGAATTATCATACTCATATACTCAACTCATATTTATGTCAATTTCAATACTTTTTGAAAACATTCAATTTTTAGGGCACATTAAAGCCTAAACTGTAACTTCTTCTTTGCCATTCAGTATTTTAAAATTTACAGTGAAACTGAAGTCCACCATGTTATTGATTAACTGTAGCAATCTCGAAAGGGAAGTCTAACTTTATTATCAAACAGCGAATAACGAAGAAGACATAGTTAGGTAAAAATATTTTTCTAGTACGGGAAAAAACAACTTTCACATCACATGAAGAAAATGCAGCAAAAATAGTTAAAAATTATTGACTCTTTGCTTTTCACAGACTGAAGAATATTCTTTGGTTGTAAAGGTGAATTTGTTCTTTATTTTATGACATAACTCACCATACTTTGACATTGAACTTTTTAAAAGTTGTCTACTATGCATAATTGATCTGCAGGTTTTGTATTCTTATGAAGCAGAATTTATTCAAATATTTCTACGTGAGAAAAAAGAGGACTAAATATTTTTTATCAAAATAGCAATATT